TCTCGGCATTAGGAGTTCCACAGGGGATCGTCTTACGTCTACTACTCTTCTTGATATTTATTAATTACCAGCTCGGTAACTTCATCTCAGAGGCATTATTCTGTGAAGATCATGCAAAGATCTGCAGGTCCATAAGAAACCAGATAGGTTTAACTGAGTTTGAAAGACCATACAAAAATAAAGAAATGGGCAGTAGAGGACGGGCTTAAACTCATCCAATCGAAATGTAGCATCATGGAAATTCTGCTTCACGAAACGCAAACACCTTACATTCTCAAAGGAAGTCCTCTCCTTAACGTCTCTTCAGAGCACGAACTCAGTCAAATGAGCACGGAAAGCCCAAACAACGCTTCAAACAACAAGCAGCACACAACGAAGGCTAACGCAACTCTTCACTTTTTGCGAAGAAAACTTACGTTTGTTCTTATCTATCTTCAGCACATACACATGCCAAGACCTTGAGGTTTTGAACTTCATCCAACCCCTTCAAAAGAGACACAAATCTCCTAGATCGTGTGCAGAGACGAGCAATTGAACGGGTGATTGTGCTGAAGAACAAATCTTGAGAAGGTAAACTTCAACACTTGATTATTACCTCTGAGTTATTGCAGAATCAGAGGTGATCTGATAGTGGCGAATAACATATAAAGTAGGCCGAACGGTCTCAGCATAAACATTTTGACGAAGAATCACTAGCATATACCTTGATGTAATCCTCGAAAAATGGCGCATCAAAGAACAAACACCATTTTTCATTAAGAGTTGTCTCAACTTGGAGTGCTCCCCGAACAGGAATGATAACAGTCTCCTCAGTGGACAGCTTCAAGAAGCGCCGGTCCTGATGAACGTTTCGAAACATGCTAGCTGTTATTATCGTTATTTCCTCATATCATCAGCTTATTCTATCTTCTTTATTGTCTCTGGTTCCTTTTCCTCGCCTACACTTCTGCCCCTTCATTACCAAATAATAATTTTTACACTCATTCACTTGGTTCTGGAATCTCACTAACACTAGAATTTGTCCTCCATGTTGCAACTGACGGACTTCCGATCTGCTGCTAGTATCCAGGACCTTTGAAGCCCTGAAAAAACGTACTCACGAGAATCAAGTGACATAAAAATTCATCAACAGCTGCCAAATGACTTGGATTGGTGCGGTCGAGTGGCTAGACTACCATCCCGATGACGCTACCAAATAAATGAAAGAACTAAAGTCGGGCGCAAAGTAATCAGTCTGCCTATTCTAGCTTGTGAAAAATATATTGATTATTGGATGCATGCCGTGAGACCTGTTAGTTGTTATTATTACCATCTCCTCAGATCAGTAACCTAATCTATATGGCTCACTAGCTCTGTTTCATCTACCTTGCTTACCCTTTAGCCCCCTCGCACAATCTTCACTATCAATTAATAAACTGAATTATCCATTTATTTGCTTAGTTCTGAAATCTCCATAGTATTGTAATTTTCCCGTTATTATTCGCCACATCGTAACTAACTTACCTCCTGCCTGGTAACGTGATAGCTACTGGTACTGAAATAAATGTTTTCATTCAAATCGCGGGACATACCAACTCACAAGCAATTGCCAACTGACTAGAATTAGACAGTCGAGTGGCTAGACCCCCATGCATTGAGCAATACCGAATGCCTTAAGCCGTAACGAATCTAATGCAAAGAAATTAATTAGTTTATACTAGCTCGGAATAAAGACATTTAATATAATGCATGTATTGGATACTGGAGGCGCCAAATATGACAGTGACGCGTCTTTTTGCGCGCAAAGTCATCACTCAGCTGTCTCCGTTCTGATTGGTAGACTCATGCATTGTAAGTCTCCATCTCTTGACCTTATTTCGAGGCTGTTCAATAAACCTAGTCCTTAAAAAACCACAGTATACATGTCATTATTTGTCACTCTTAGTGTAGAATTCGTATTTCCATCCCTAAGACGCATACCTGGTGTAGTCCTGGTAAACAGTATATGAATGTTTATAGTCTGTTTTTTTGTGTTTCCTGTTCTTTCTTTAATTATTTTAGGCGATTTTCCTAATCCAAATGAAAACGATACTACTATAGTATCATGGTAAATATGACTTTGATTACTTGTAGCTCTCTAAAATAGCGTTCAGGAGGTTAAGTAACCTTGAATTTGTTTTTTATGAATATTGACAAAGTGCTTTCCGCTCATATCACTTGATGATTTCTCCTGTTTGCCTGGTCTCAAGTTTTTCGGATACCGATTTCATGCAAAAAATCGACATGATATACCTGACCTTTGTCTCACGTTTCGACACTTAAAAGGTTCATACAGTTTATTTAATTGGTTTATCGACCATGCCTGAGCATTTGAGCTTGGAAAATAAATGAAATACTACATACGTATTAAAACAACCTATTAGACGAAAGATCCTCAGCATCTTGCTACACAAGCAGACCTACAGGAATTCAGCTACTATGTTGTAATTCTTACGCAACAGTTAGCTGCTAGGCATTAGCGTATGCGGCATGTCGCAACTAGACCACTATTCGTGGGTTTCCCCCAATTTACCTGTTAATTTTGGCAAGGTCTTTTCGTAGGATGAAACCGTTATCGTCTGTTTAAAGAGTCATCAAAATGCCCATATTACCGACCTTATGACTTACTGGCATACTTAATTCATGTTGTTTTGTTAGAAATCTCTTATACAATGACCATAGTTCAAATTAGTGGCTTTAAATATTATTATGTTATCCCTTCCCTGTACGTCGCCGTTATTTTTCCGCCCTCTGCTCTTCAGTTTGTCATTAGTGTCAGTCTGTTGCAAATATGCTCAGACAACCGCCTATTCTTAGCAAACACTAACTTTAGGCATAAGGAAAAGCATCTGTTGACCTGGCGACCTCCAAAGTCGTCTCAACGTTGGACTCAACTAGATCACATTGCCATCAGCCACCGATGGAGGGGTTCGATAGAGGACTGTCGCTCGTTCTGGGGCACATGTTTAGATTCAGATCATGCCCTAGTGCGAGCGCGTATTTGTTTGAAGCTTACTGGGCGTAGGAAAGACACCGTAAGAAAGCCTCTTAGGGTTTTACCTAATGATAATAAGGCGAAAAATATATTTCAGGAACAACTAGAAAGACAGTTAGGCGACCAATTAAGCGATTCCCATCCGGAAGCAGGATGGAATGATATCAAAAAGGCTGTGGAAACAGCAGTGATATCTGCTAGTAAGGTTGACCATAAGGCTAGAATGAAACCGTGGATCTCAGTAGCATCCACCGATCTGATGGATGCCCGAAAACTCATCCCACCTGACTCTGAACATGATGAAGAACGAAGTCAACTTAGGCGCAGACTTATAAAAAGCCTACGTAACGATCGCGAACAGTGGTGGGTGGCGAAAGCAAAAGCGATGGAAAAGGCAGCGGCGATAGGCAACAGTAGACAACTTTTCCGACTTATCAAGGAAACTGGTATTAGGAATCCTAGTGTAAGCGAGACTATCTCAGAAAATGACGGGACTATTATTTATTCTCAATCCAGGAGACTGGATCGATGGGCAGAACACTTTAGGGATCAGTTCAACTGGCCTCGAGCCACTCTTCGGTTACCCACGATCTCCAGTCATCCTGAATGGCAAATCGACCTAAGTCCCCCTAGTCTTAATGAAGTTGAAAAAGCTTTAGGAAATCTGAAGCGAGGACGAGCTGCAGGTCCTGATAGACTGACCCCTGAGATATTTAAGGATGGTGGTCCAGTTTTAGCAGCTAGGTTGACTGAGATCTTAGGTAGAATCTGGGAACTGGACGTAATCCCATCCGACTGGTCTCAATCACTGATTGTCCCAATCTACAAGAAAGGACAGAAGTCTTCTTGTGACAATCACAGGGGAATAAGTCTAACTAATATAGTATCTAAAATATTGGCCTCAATAATACTTCGACGCTTAACGAAAGCTCGTGAAGAGCAGACTCGAGAAAACCAGTCTGGTTTTCGACCTGGACGTGGCTGTATAGACCACATTTTCACACTACGACAGGTCTTGGAACACAGACACACATTTAGGCGTCCTACAATAGTTGTTTTCCTGGACCTTAAGGCGGCATTTGACTCAGTGGATCGTGAGGTTCTGTGGCAGTGTTTGTCATTGAAAGGTGTACCAAATAAGTACATTAACCTCATACAAGCTCTCTACTCAAACACCACTGGTCGAGTGAGAGCTTATGGCGAACTGTCACCGGAATTCTCTACATCAAGTGGTGTCCGTCAGGGATGTCCACTCTCTCCATTCTTGTTTAATTTTATCATAGACATGCTCCTAGAAATAACCTTATCCTCGTCTGAATTTTCTGGAGTAGACCTTCTACCAGGTGGCTCGCTTATTGACTTAGAATATGCCGATGACATAGTCCTACTTGGTGAAGACGCTGACAAAATGCAGAGTCTTCTGACTACCCTAAGCAACAATGCAAGCATGTTCGGGATGCGGTTTTCCCCTTCGAAATGCAAAATGTTGCTTCAAGATTGGGTTTCATCGGCACCTGAACTAGTGATAGGGAGTGAAGTAGTCGAACGTGTAGACCGCTTCACTTATCTCGGGAGTCTCATCAGTGCCGATGGCCTGGTGACTGACGAAATCTCGGCACGGATACAGAAGGCTCGATTGGCTTTTGCCAACCTGCGTCACTTATGGCGTAGGCGAGATATCCGTTTGCTGACTAAAGGACGAGTGTACTGCGCAGTGGTTCGCTCCGTCTTACTTTATGGCTGTGAAACATGGCCAATGAGAGTAGAAGATACTCGTCGGTTATTGGTTTTCGATCATAGATGTCTTCGAAGCATTGCTCGTATATCGTGGGACAACCGAGTGAGCAACGCTGTTATTAGGAAACGGGTACTAGGTAAGAATGGCAGACCAATCGATGAAGTGGTGAAACTTCATCAGTTGAGGTGGTTGGGACACGTGTTGCGTATGCCTAACCAGCGACTCCCTCGTCGAGCTTTGTTTTGTAGTGTAGGAATAGGTTGGAAGAAAGCTAGGGGCGGCCAGACCAAAACATGGCAGAAATCCATGAAGTCATTGACTAGTGGACTTAGCCATGTCGGTAATTGTCGACTACCTGGTTGGGGTCCGCGAGATGATAATAATCGATGGTTAGAGACCTTGAATGACATGGCTCAAAATCGTTCGCAATGGCGCCAGTGCATTTATTCTTTGTGTTCTCTCAAATCCTAATCTTCTGGATTCTTCAACACCTCTAGTTTTTACTTTCTAAACTTATCTCATTTAATCATACTTCATGAATAATATCTTCTAATCCTAACCTCTCCGATTACTTCTAATAACTTTACTACCTCTTCTACTATTGGATTTGAATTGACAATTATATCTCTGTGTTGATGTGGTATGGCGACATGAACTGATGTACTTACGTACGAAGTTCTACGTTGCATCCGACGACGACTAGTGTCAGTCAAATCATGATTTTTTACTAGCTTACTCCTCTAGACCTGGAGAACTCAATGCTCACTTGTTTATCAGTTTACCTACAGAGCTTTTGTCTCATGTCTCTTATCAAAACACTTGTTTAAATCCTGTAAGTTCCATTGTTATATTGATATCACTTTTATCTAATCAAAATGCAAGCTCTCCTGTGTCAACATCATCTCTTATTAGTTTTGAAAATACGATATCTAGTATTTGGTTCACTATCGCTCTGTTGAGCTGCAGTGCCTATCTTTTTAGTTGAACTATAAGTGGCAATTTACCCCTTAATGGAAAGCAACATGTTGGCTTTTTAACAATGTTTCTTTATGACATGAAATATAGCATGTCCAGTCTATGAGAGATTCTGTCAGGCATGGTATAAATATATATATGTGTTTGTTGTACGGAAACCAAAGCAGACTCAATGAAATTGAAAAAAACGATAGGTTATGATATTTATGTACAATAAACATCAAGTTATAATTCAAATTAGAATACGCCAATTTTTTCAAAGTTATTATGTTGTAGATCAGTAAAAACTAACAACTTTAGTATATATACTTATAATTAGTTTAAGAATACTTAATAGTGACGTAGCTAATTCGACAAAAACGCTAAGCTTCTGAATAATAGGATATAACTCTAGACACTTGATGATCAAGTTCCCCTTGTAATTTATCCAACTATTTCTCATACATCTATGTTGTAGCCATGTGCATTAGCTAGAAATACATGATAACTGGTCAGTCAGTCAGTCAGTTGCAACGTAGAACTTCGTACGTAAGTACATCAGTTCATGTCGCCATACCACATCAGCACAGAGATATAATTGTCAATTCAAATCCAATAGTAGAAGAGGTAGTAAAGGTATTAGAAGTAATCGGAGAGGTTAGAATTAGAAGATATTATTCAAGAAGTATGATTCAGTGAGATAAGTTTAGAAAGTAAAAACTAGAGGTGTTGAAGAACCCAGAAGATTAGGATTTGAGAGAACACAAAGAATAAATGCACTGGCGCCATTGCGAACGATTTTGAGCCATGTCATTCAAGGTCTCTAACCATCGATTATTATCATCTCGCGGACCCCAACCAGGTAGTCGACAATTACCGACATGGCTAAGTCCACTCGTCAATGGCTTCATGGGTTTATGCCATGTTTTGGTCTGGCCGCCCCTAGCTCTCTTCCAACCTATTCCTACACTACAAAACAAAGCTCTTCGAGGCAGTCGGTGGTTAGGCATACGCAACACGTGTCCCAACCACCTCAACTGATGAAGTTTCACCACTTCATCGATTGATCTGCCATTCTTACCTAGTACCTGTTTCCTAATAACAGCGTTGCTGACTCGGGTGTCCCACGATATACGAGCAATGCTTCGAAGACACCTATGATCGAAAACCAATAACCGACGAGTATCTTCTACTCTCACTGACCATGTTTCACAGCCATAAAGTAGGACGGAGCGAACCACTGCGCAGTACACACGTCCTTTAGTCAGCAAACGGAATCTCGCCTACGCCATAAGTGACGCAGGTACATGG